TCCCCTTTGTCTACAAAGGGAATGACATTCATGTGCTTCTCTGTAAAGCTCACACAGCCTCCAACTTTAACACTCAAAATGTATCAGATAAAATGAAATGTCTTATCCAACTTTAAATAGTTGATGCTTATGAGTACTTCTTTGTAGCAAATACACAGCCAATCATATCTTCATTGACCTTTTCTGGTTATCTCTGCCTTCTTGTTTCTCCACTGGTATCAGCCATATTAAAATACTTTCACACAGTATATAAAACATGTAACTAATATTTTTTTCTAATGGAAGTTTCAAAATTTTTGTTTGGTGTCTACTTTTAATGAAAAATAAAACTGATTGGCAACAAACTGGTATTGATGTCTTACAAACATCCAGAGCTGAAACAAAACTGATGGTTAGTACAGAACAATCTTGATGTGACTAGCAGTCAGAAACCACAGCATATTTGAAAGGATTGGGAAGCAAGTGCCTCTCTTCCTCACTCAGAGCCTGAGTTTTCTGATATTATGAACATCGGGTTTTCTGGTGCCACACACCATGTTCTAGTTGAATTTTAAAAAGGAAATTTGTGGACATGGAGGGAGAAGAGGTGTAAATTTGATTAAGATGAATTATGTGAAATGCACAAAACTCAATAACAATATTTTTAAACTCTGTGCAAAGAGAACAAGGCAAATTAAAGGCAGCAGGTTAGATGACGAGGAAAACACAGTGAGACAGAGAGGAATCAATGTCTGATGTGTCTAGTCATGAGCCAACATTAATTGAGACTGATATTATAAAGATGAACCAACAAATCTAGGGCCAGTGAGTACAGGTGCAGATAACTGGAGTAAATAAAGGTCATGAGAGATAGATAAAGGTTTATACAACAAGTTTGTCTTGTGAATTTCCAGGATGATTTAGTTATGAAGGCCTCTACTTTATGTCCAGAGATCCATGAGTAAACAGTAAACATGGCTGTTATGTAACTCATTTTATAACCATTTTTGCAATTTGCCACCTTTGTGTGATTTCCTATAAAATGTCCTTGGGACCAAAGGTACATGCCCTATCCTGGAGAAAATAAATACAGTGTGTCGTATTTTCTAGTGTCTCTGAGAATGTTCTTCTATCTGGGTACCTCCCCTGACCTCCAAAATTAATACCCACAAAGAGAAATTCATCAGAATGTTATATAATATTGAAGATTAATTGACAGTCATCCTTCTTTTTAAATTGGGCACATAAAATTTCCAAACAAGATCATGTACAAAATAAATGTGTGGCCAGTGGAGGATGGAGACGTATAAGGAAAATGCATTCATTAGGTTAATAAGGTTTACAGAAAAAAAAAATGTATGGATATATGGGGGATCCTGAAGAGAAGAGAGCTCCCCTTCTCCTTCTAAGGATAGAGAATTCAGTCTTAGAGAAATGACTCTGCAATCACATCACTGATTTCAGAAATCAAAGAACAAGGAATAGGAGCAGCAAAGAAGTATTTGACGACTAGGCATAATGTACGCCAAGCATTGCTGCAGGCAGTGGCCTTCAGAACAGTGCTGTACAATAGGAACCTCCAACAATGAAGGACTTGTTTGATTTTGTGGGTCCAAGATGGCAGTCACTAGTGTGCCCCCACACATTTGAAACAGCTAGGCAAAGGAACAGATATTAACTGGACAGCCAAGGATGGCTAATGGCATCCAGGGTGTGCTGAGATTACACACAGTCACTGGGGATTTCCTGTGCTTTCTGTCTTCCCTTCTCGTATTTCAAGCTATGAGATTAGGAGCATGCGTTTAGGATTAGCTATGAGATTAGGAGCACGTTCAGGATTGCATTTAGTGCATCTTATTGGATGGAATATGGTGACCACAGAAAAGAGAGACAATTATTTTTACCCTGTTCTTATTACTGTGTTCATGAATGATCTAGGCAGTATATTTTTAAAAGATCGGTATATGTAATTGACAATAATAAGTTAATAGTTATCTGAAAATTTCCCGGTATCTAATCCTTTATTCAAAGAAAATTCCGTATAAATCTAATGTTCCCCGTTCTCCCTTTGTACCTCTGCATTCTGAACAAGTCTTCAGCTCTTTCCTTCCCGTCTTCTCGGCGTCACGCTGCTTCCTGCTCCTTCAGGATTTGTGACACACTCAGGATGTGGGTTGCCACGCTGTGTCTAGCACAGTAATAAACAGCTGAGTCTTCAGATATCAGGCTGCTGAGCTCCATGAAGGCTGTCCTGGATGATGTATCACTGGTCATTGAGACCCTGCCCTTGAACTTCTGTGCATACCCTGTGTTGTCATTGCCAGGGTAGATCCATCCTATCCACTCTAGCCCTTGTCCAGGCTTTTGCTTCACCCAATGTATAGTGTAGCTGGTGAAGGTATAGCCAGAAGTCTTGCAAGAGAGCTTTACTGAGGTCCCAGGCTTCTTCAGATCAGGCCCAGACTGTTGAAGCTGGACCCGGGAATGGACATCTGTGGAGAGGAGGGAGAGTTGATGTCCCATTCACCAGAGACTCTGGCACCTCTCACACCTGGAACTAGGTACCCCTTTAACTGTAATGGCTGCAATCAGGATGAGGATGATTCAGCTCCAATCCATGGTAAGCACTCAGGGACTGTGAGGTTAAGATTGGTCCTGCAGTACTGGAGACTAAAGAGACATATGTTTGCCAGGACAGATGTGGGTCATTTGCATATCCATGATTCAGAGTACTTCTGTATAAAGTCAAAATGCGTGATAAGGAGTAGGTTGAAGACACCTGGAGCATACAACAATGTGCTGTTGTCCAATTCATAATCCTATTAAATACATCTGCTGCCCCTTCCTTGATCCCTGTGCTGTTCCCACAGAGAATGAAATCCCCATTGTCACACTGCTCTGATTGGACCCCATTATAAAAGGTGCATGGGCCACCTGAACCGGCTCAGGGCCAACAGTGTCTCTGATGCTTAACAGCTGAATTTAGATCAAAATGCTTGCATAATGGACCAGCACAGAACATTGGAGACAACTGTCCCTCCCACATCAGTGACCCCAGGAACATGGGCAACACTGATATCAGCAGTGTACTTCGGTGATTTTTTTTTTTAGCACGTTTCCAAGTGACCTGAGTCAGAGATGTTCCATAGAAAAGCCTTGTTCTCAGAACATAGTCCTCATGAGTGAACTATGACTATGAATCAGTAGAAATTTAATGTGGCTTTTGATAGCCTCATATATTAAATGTGTTTAACCATGAAAATTTGTTGTTTTTGAGCATGGAGTAACGATGTCTAACTGAAGTCTATATTTTGCAAGGTTGCAGAAGGTGAATCTTTTATGAATGGAAACCAGAAAAGCTGGTAGACTCTCTCCCCCTTCCCCTGCTTTCTTCTGAATTTGCTATGCTGCCCTTTGGATTGATGAATCTACAATGCCCCCTGCTGGTCTCAAGAAACTGTGTATGTAAGTTTTTCTCTGGATCCACACAGTCCCCTCATGATGGCTATGACACAGCAACACGTGACCATGTTC